GTATTAGGACACAACTGCATTGCAACTGACCGCTCCACCGGGGGGAGCTGCCCCACCATCGAGGGTGGTGAAGGAGGAGGATCCAGCAAATCAGTTTCCGGCAATAAAAAGGTGCTGTCCACGACCTGTTGAGCTCCTCATGCACCTCCGGGAAGAAAGGCACCGAGGCGGGGCGCTGAGAACCAGCGCGGACCACCCCGAGAACCAATCGTGCAACCTTGAGGGCTCGGGACACGGTGAAAGTCTTCACTCGAGCCCTACCCCTACGGCGGCCCGGGAAAGCATAGCCATTATTTCTGGATCCGATCCAGGCATTGCTACGGTCCCGGAGGAGAGCAGCGCAGCCGAATCTTCCTCTCCAGAGAGCTCTGGCTCACCCTCCGATGCTGCAATCGACATCTGATCATCGGGGGGAGCCTCGGAACAAACAGGTGGTACCCCCCGGGAGGCTCTTTTTGTGAGGGGAATTCCTCACCGTGACTGTAAGACCAGTCCGCCCACCGCTACCGCCAACACGAAGAGCTCTCCAAGAGCGTGCTGAACTCGTTCAGTCTTCTTCTCTCAGTAGAGTAGTCAGGAGCAGAACGATGTGATCGCTGCATCTGCTGCCTACTTATACTCACGCTGTGATCAGCAGCAGCTGGATGCAATAATCGCATGCCAATGTGCATTGGCTCGTTTAGTTTACACTCAAAGTAGATTGGTCCCTCTAAGCGAGATCCCAATTCGTCTGTCCTCCGACGTGACGTCGAGAGTGACCGACTGAAAGGGAAATCTTGTTAAACATGTATTGTAATTTAAATGTACAGGCATAAATCGGAAAAGTGCAATAATAAATCAGTCGAATGATATATGAAAAAACCCTTTTATAAAAACTTTCAGAATTTAGATCAGAATAAAACTGTAAAGTTTGTTGTATGTAAGTGTTACTGAAGTGGAGAAACAAACTCGCATCCTTCAAAAATATGTATTATAGTTTAAATAAACAACAGTAATAAAATCAGTGTGAATGATATATGAACAAACCCCTCTATAAAAACCTTCAGAATATAGATAGGAATAACATGATGTGATGTAAGTGTTAATGTTAGTGAAAAAAGCAAATTCATTTTGAGAACAGCCTTTAAAGATATGTATTGTTGGCCTAATTTAAAACTAAAGTGCAATAAAATAAACATTTAAAAATGCATTTTGCATGTTTTCTGTCCACTAGTCTGAAAAAACACATTGTGGAAAATTCACCAGTGCATGAAAAACACAATGTCTTGACTTGAGCATCAACTTTGCCTCAGAGGTTTCTAATAAAATTCTTTATACAAAATAAAAATAGAAACAACTGAAGAATAAATCCCAGCTACTCACATCAGCGTAACAGCAGTCAGTCCAAATGCTCTTCTGTAACTCTTTCCTGTCTTAATGCATGATCTTCATTCAACAAGTTTCTCATAACAAGTACGGTTTTCATTGAAGGCATTCGATGGGAATAGAGATACAGAGGAATCATCTTCTCCTGAGTGTGCTGAAAACCCATCTGACCCACACTTGGGAGAAGTTAAGACAGGTGCGATTCATTCTGTCAATTTCTGTCCACTAGTCTGAAAAAACACATTGTGGAAAATTCACCAGTGCATGAAAAACACAATGTCTTGACTTAAGCATCAACTTTGCCTCAGAGGTTTCTAATAAAATTCTTTATACAAAATAAAAATAGAAACAACTGAAGAATAAATCCCAGCTACTCACATCAGCGTAACAGCAGTCAGTCCAAATGCTCTTCTGTAACTCTTTCCTGTCTTAATGCATGATCTTCATTCAACAAGTTTCTCATAACAAGTACGGTTTTCATTGAAGGCATTCGATGGGAATAGAGATACAGAGGAATCATCTTCTCCTGAGTGTGCTGAAAACCCATCTGACCCACACTTGGGAGAAGTTAAGACAGGTGCGATTCATTCTGTCAATTTGCATTTTTAACATTTCCGATTAAATAGATTAAACTCACAACTCTCCGAATATTTTCAGGTCATATTTCACCCTATATTTCACCCTAAAATCAAAAGAAAGAAGAAAGAAATTATTTTGTGCGTGAAGAAAGCCTATTTTTAAATTGTTATTATTATTTTAATCAATTAAGCACATTTTACCCACTTATTTACTGTAAATTATATATATATGCATGTATGTATGTATGTATGTATATGTGTGTGTATATAAAATATTTTATTTTTTTTATTTTAATGCATTTACATTTTTATGCGTATTAACTTTTTTTGTGCACATTTTACATTTCTTATTTTTTATGTTTATTTTAAGTATTATTTTAATTTATGAAATATTATTTTATTTTTTTTTACAATGCTACATTTTATTTTTATTTTATTTTATTGTATTGTATCATTTTTAAATATTTTATAGTACATTTTATTCTTATTTTCACATTTGTTATTATTAATTAATTAATTAATTAATTTATTTATTTATTTATTTTTAGTTTACTTGCCCATTCTTAAAAAAAACACCCCAGCTCAAACGTTAATTCTACGATTTTTGTCAAAATCACAGATTTTTTTCATTATAGAGCTTTAGAGCATTATAGAGATTTTTTTATTAAAGATTCACATAGAGCTGACTCTAAGAAAAACTAATTAAAGAACTAAATCTGTTTGAATTGTCTTATGTCACTATATACATACATGTGTATATATATACAGTATTTATACATATACATATATATATATATATTTTTTAAAATATTTCCATTGTGTAAAATATAATTTCTTATTTGAGGGTGAAATGTGATCTGCACACATCTCTCATGAGATCCACCCTGTTGTGTAATAACAGTATGCGGGTTGTATATTATTATCCTTCACATGTGTTGGGTTTTAATCTGCAGGTGTGTTGTCTTTCACACAGGTTTTGTCCCATTGGCCAGCGAGGGCCGTTTGGAGCCTGTAGCTGGTCCAGTTCCTCATCATTACCCAGAATCCTCCAGCAGCATCAGGCTGCCCGAGGCCTTCACTTCTCCTGCCACACACTTCAGCCCCATAATACTGACTCATCACCCGCAGTCTGAGCTGTAGGTCTGCAAAAACATACTCACTGATTTCAGGGAATCCCAGAATGCATCATTATTTTGCATGAAATTGAGTCATCGGTGAATTATTGAATCAGGGACTTTGCTACTTGTGTTCACAATATGCTGATTAATGACAATGAATGCTGTTAGTTTTGGACCACTTTGACACATTTTAACCTGGTTAATAATTCTTCAAATCAGTACATTTTTGCAAACCAGAGATTGTAGTTTTAGTGTGTTGTCAAGGGAGATCATATTTTATGAAGTCTAATATTATCTATCTTGACCAGTGTTATTTTTGTATTATTCATATGCTATTATCATTTGAATTATTATTTTTTTTCTACTTTTAGTTTTCATTCTAAGTTTAGTTACATTTTTAGCTATTTTATGTGCTTTTGTCATTTTTTTTGTATTGCTTTTTTAATTTATTTTAAAAATGTATTATTTATTTTTGTATATTATTATTTGTTTAATTTATTATGTCAGTTTTTATTTATTTCATTTCCAGTTCATAATTTTAGCGCTTGAACTTAAACTAAACGAAAAGAAGAAATGTTGCCTTGGCAACATGAAATAAGTTTTTCATCTAATTATTTTATTTTATTTTATTTTTCAATTAACAAAAGTATTTTAACACTTTCAGTTTGAGTTAATGGCTTTAACTTTGATCTGGATCCCTAAAGTTGACTTTATAGCTGAACTCAAGTTTAGGTTCTAATGTTCTTGTTTTAAATATATTTAAGCATTGTCAGTCAGTCTATTGACACGCCATTTTATTATATTTTTTTAAATTTATTTTATTGTTTTACATATTTTTACTTTGCATTTTATTTGTTACTTTTTTTTTTAAATTATATTTTGAAATTTCTGTTTTGTTGTTTTATTATTTTTTACGACTTTTGTCATAAATTCACAGCTTTTTTTCTATTAGAAATTTAAGTACTTCAACTTAAAGTGAAACCGAACCAATCTAAAATAGTAAAATAGTTAACAATAACTCTGGTCTGAACCCCTAAAGTTGACTTTAAAACTGAACTCAGGTTTAAGCTCTAATGGTCTTGTTTGAATTATTTTCCAGGATTGTCAGTGGACGCTCTGTTGAGGACATCACGGATGAAACGATCCTGCGAGAGGCAGATGAACAGGAAGAGAGTGCCGCTGAGGATGATGAGACGGCTGGTGTTTTCTCTGTCGGTTATTCATCATCATCCAGCTGTAAGACTCCTGTGAATTCACCGCCTCCAGCGACTCCCCAAATAACCAATCAAGAAACAGAAGACCAGCCACACTTCCCTGCCTTCTCCTGTGCTAATGGGATTTGTAACAACTTCCTTCTACAGCAAGACCCCTTGACAAGAAGTCTGACCCTACTTCCTGTTCAGATCGCCATGCTTCAGCCAATCACAGGCACGGATGAGGCTTCTGATGGCAGTGTGAGGAATGAAAGCGTCTGTTTGACCCACAGAGACTCAGCAGTGTCTCCTGAAAGTCCAGTGACAGATATAGGACTTCAGCCCAACGCTGCGCCTCACTGTGTGAACCTCAGCCCGTCACGCTCGCGTCTGCAGCACATCATTGAGCTGCTCAGAGAACAGTTTGCTTTTAATGGCTACCTGAAGAATGGAGTCCAAGCTCTGGCTATGGGTAAAAAATTAATTCGCTTTTTTTAAAGACTTATTTAAACTTTTCTGCATATTTTACTAATACTCAGGGCCTAAAATTAATATATATATGTAATAGTGTCAGTTGCCAGTAAAACTTTTATGAAATATAACAATGCAATGTAGCGAGAACACATACGCTGTGCCGCTTCAGACAGCACACCGGTAGCGCTTCAACGGACGAAAACACACACAATTACGTCAAAGTTTTGGTGAGTTACCTCGTAAACGTAGTCTTAAATGAGTTATAAAGTCTTAAATGACTGTAAAGAGTTTGGAGAAAGTAGGATATGTGTCAGATCAGCTTCATGTGAATCAGGTTTTAAAGAGACAGCGCTGTTTTTAAAGGGGTCCTATTATGCTTTTTCACTTTTTCAACTTTAGTTAGTCTGTAATGTTGCTGTTTGAGCATAAAAAAGATCTGCAAAGTTACAAAGCTCAAAGTCCACTTCAAAAGGAGATATTTTATTTAACAGAAATCACTTTTCAAAAACTACAACGAACGACTCGTAAAAACAACAACAAAAAACAACAACAAAAAAGCTCATTCTTAAGTCCAAGGGCGTTCACTTTAAGAGAATGAATCTACACTAGTCAACATTTGAAGTGAATCAAAACCTCTCATCAAAGTTGTCCTAAAACCTAAAACCAAAATGTGTTCTTGTCTTAGGACAACTTTGATGAACTTTTTTTGATCCGCTTCAAATGTTGACTACTGTAAATAATTGTTTATTTGTTTATTAATAAATAAATAAATACATTTAAAAAAGAAAACTACACAATTGTTGTTTATGTAAGAGTATGCCACTTTCTTTAATAGTCTTGTTCAATTCTTTGTTGTTGGAAGAGTCTTAAAGGACTCCTTCATGACTTGTTGTGCATTTCCAGGAGAATACATCTTCTCTTTAGAAACCCTCCAGTTTGAGACCTTTTGTCGAGCGATAACGGAGAAATTCGGTGATCTGTACTGGGATCAGAAGCTGCTGTGTGACCTGCACCGTCTGATTAACCAGCATTCATGCCCACGGTGAGCATTATCAACACATAAACCCAGATCTTCAGCCGCTTTACCATCTGCTGGCCAAGTCAAATAAATGGATCCTTATTTAAGAATAATTAGATATTTATACTGGACGACAAGACAAAAATACCAGGAAAGTAGGAAAATCCTACATATGTTATTTTTATTTTTTTGCAGTGTACCAAGACACATGATATGAGGAATCAAGATATATTATCTTGCACAGTTTTGCTGAAGATTTATCCTGTTTTATAGGTGTTTAAAAAAAAACATGGGAAAAATAGGTTAAGAATTTTTTGCAGTTAATTAAAAAAGCAAAGCAAAAACATAATACTGTCTACTAACTACATAAAATCTACCAATTAATAAAAAAAAAACTTAATTGAAGATATATTATCTTATCTACAGTTCTGCTTCTTAAGTAGATGTATCTTGTTATAAGGAAGTTTAGAAAGTATGGAAGAGGATTAGGGCCAAGCAATAATAAAAAAATAAAACCATCTCAAGATTAAAGTCGTTAAATTTTGTGAAAAAACTCGTTAAATTTCAAGAAATAAGTCGAGATTAAATTGAGATTAAACTCATTACATTTCGAGAATAAACTCATTGTTTCGAGAAAAAAAGTTGAAATAATATGTTGAGAATAAACTCATAAAATTGAGAAAAAAATTCGTTAAATTTCGAGAATTTTTTTTTCAATAAAATGTTGAGAATAAACATTAAATTACGTGAAAAAAGTTGTTACATTTCGAGAAAAAAATACGTTAAGTTTCGAGAAAAAAGGTCAAAATAAAATGTTGAGAATAAACTCATTAAAAAAGTTGTTAAATTTCGAGAAAAAAAGGTCAAAATAAAATGTTGAGAATAAACTCATTAAAAAAGTTGTTAAATTTCGAGAAAAAAAGTTGAAATAAAATGTTGAGAATAAACTCGCTTTTCGTCCTTTTAAAAGTCCGTATTTTTTTTGGTTAAAAATGATCCGAAATCAATATTTGAGCAAGTACATAACCAGCCAGTGTTCAAAACTATCGCCTTACTTTAACCCGATTCACAACGGTTATCTTATAATAATGTTTTCTAATTTGAGTGGTACGGGTAGGTTTTCGCGGGAAATTCGAGCATGGCACCGCGTTATTAAGTCACGTCTGTAAACATAAAGAATTTGTCCCGGCTGCTAGGCTATCGCATGTGCGGACGCTGCAGGTGACGGATCGTTTATAGCCTTTTCTCACAGCAGCTGGAATAATTAAATTTATCACTTTGATGGCGGATTGTAATCCAGAAAGGACTACGTGTTTATGAAACACATGTGAATGAAATTAAATTATATTCCAGTTATAAATGTGCTTCTGATTACAGATAGCCTGGGATTACACACGATTTGTATTTTAAAGACAACCAGTTCGAAGGGAGCATAGTTTGCTTTTTGGGTTAAAAGGTTTCTTAATATGAAATTCTTAATATGAAATTCGAATGGTATGACAATTAGATATTAGACTGTACAGAAATTGAAATCTACACGCTAATACACACATAGTGACGTAATGCTGATGTTGTTAACATTAATAATTTGTGAATAAAATATAACAATAATAATAATTTGCATGGTTTGATGTGATATGAGCTAACCATCTTTAGATTAAATCACCATTGGTAAATCAATTTATTGTAATGCTTTTTTCCTCAGTTGGTCAGAACAAATGTGGCAGACTTGTTACTTACTCGTTCAGATGACAATATACAGTGAAAATTCTTATTTGGGTCATATATTCTAAGACGTGCTAGAATCTGTGATTGCGAAGTACAGTAAATATCCACTCCGGTGCGGTGACTGACTGCCACACACACATACTCCTCAAAACATTAGATTCATCTGCGCTGGAGCCGCGCCGGAGCACAACCCACACAAGGAAGATAATTCCGCACACAGCTGCAATTGCAGGTTTTCAAACAGAGATGGCGACAAAGAGGCAAAACTTACAGACTGCCGCTTTAACAATGTTTAATAATAATGTATTAATTAGGGGTAGCCAGGCTATAGGGAGGGCTTTGTTCTCCCAATAAGGCAGCATATTTAATCATTTCAATAAATAAAGTCATTGTTATTTAAAATAAATGTTATTATTGCATTCTTTTAATGTACAACAAACCTGAGGTGCAAATAGTATCTGCCACTCAATGTTTAATAATAATGTATTAATTAGGGGTAGCCAGGCTATAGGGAGGGCTTTGTTCTCCCAATAAGGCAGCATATTTAATCATTTCAATAAATAAAGTCATTGTTATTTAAAATAAATGTTATTATTGCATCCTTTTAATGTACAACAAACCTGAGGTGCAAATAGTATCTGCCACTATTTATAAGTAGCATCTAATTAGCTACTATTTACACTTATTGCAAAGATCTGCTGCTTTTACATAACATAAATATAATGGCTATGTTGTCACTTAGTGTAAATAGTACATATAACTGTAAATAGCAACTGGCAGGGGTGTCCAAAGTCTGGTTGCGGGCCAAATACGGCCCGTGGATGAATTTCAAATGGCTTGTCTATTAAAATGTATGCTATTATATGTGGCCTGCCATTCATAATTTAGAAATCATGCAGTTTCACAATGTCAACACAAGGTGACAGCACTAAATTTTAGGCCAGATGTATCAGTAAAATGTGAGTGACAACAATTTGATAACTCATATGGACTGTAATTTCTTTAGCGCATCGCAATCAGAAGAGTGCTACTCGTGTGAAGCGTGCTGCACGGATCATATTTAGCTCTGTCTAAAGACAGCGCAGCGCAAGCTCAGAACAAATGCGTTTACTCGCAGGTCTCGATCAGGCGACCACTGAACAGCGCTGTGAGAAGCTCTAGACTGTAATTTCTTTAGCGCATCGCAATCAGAAGAGTGCTACTCGTGTGAAGCGTGCTGCACGGATCATATTTAGCTCTGTCTAAAGACAGCGCAGCGCAAGCTCAGAACAAATGCGTTTACTCGCAGGTCTCGATCAGGTGACCACTAAACAGCACTGTGAGAAGCGTTCGAGTTTGGAGCAGAGCTCTCCTATACAAACCACAGATGTCACAGGGATTTAAACTAGTTTAAAGGCAGATGAAACAACACTGATGCGGAAAACAGGAGAAATACCGTGTGACAACAATCCAGTTAGAATACTTTTCAATCCACAAATTAATATTTACAATGAATTTACTGTAGTAACACTAAACCTACCTAATTAATACATTATTATTAAACACTCGTTAAGCATCAGTCGCTACTCCCCAGCACATTCCTCGCCGACCCACCCCACTGCAGACGCTAAATAACACGTTCAACGAGATGAAATCAACATGACATGAGTGTGTGAATTCTTGACTTTTTTTCTCGAAATGTAATGATTTTTTTCTCGTAATTTAATGAGTTTATTCTCAACATTTTATTTAGACTTTTTCTCGAAATTTTATGAGTTTTTTTCTCGGAATGCAACACATTTTTCTCGTTATTTAATGAGTTTATTCTCCAAATTTTATCTAGACTTTTTTCTTGAAATTTAACGAGTTTTTTCTCAAAACATAACGAGTTTATTCTCTAAATTTAATTAATTTAGTCTCAACATTTTATCTTGACTTTTTTCTTGAAATGTAACGATTTTAATCTCAAGATGGTTTTATTTTTTTATTATTGCTTGGCCATAATCCTCTCCCGTAAGAAAGGCATGAGAAAAATACAGATCATAATTTAATGAGTTTATTCTCCAAATTTTATCTCGACTTTTTTCTTGAAATTTAATGAGTTTCTTCTCAAAACATAACGAGTTTATTCTCTAAATTTAATTAATTTAGTCTCAACATTTTATCTCGACTTTTTTCTTGAAATGTAACGATTTTAATCTCAAGATGGTTTTATTTTTTTATTATTGCTTGGCCATAATCCTCTCCCGTAAGAAAGGCATGAGAAAAATACAGATCAAGAACAAAAAAATCCATTACAGAGGCAGAAAACAAGAAAAAAATGTTTGACAATTAATTAAATCAAATCTGCCAGTGAACCTTACACAGTTTTGTTTCTTTTTAAGTAGATTTATCTTGTTTTAAGGATGTTTAGAAGAAAAAAACACAAGAATACAAGAATAATGCAGATTAAGAACATAGTTTTTGTAGTACATATACAGAGAGAAAAGCAAAAAATAAATAAATGGTCTCCTAAATAAATAAAATCTGCCAATTAATTTACAAAACTCTTAATTCAAGACACATTATCCTACAGTTTTGCTTCTTAAGTAGATTTATCTTGCTTGTAGAGATGTTAAAAAACAACAAAAATATAGATTAAAATATTTTTATTATACAGATACAGATTGCAAGGCACAAAACAAATAAATAAAAATACATGCATGAATTAATTAATGAGTGAGAATGAATGAATGCATGAAATGATGCATGAATGCATGAATAGATTAATTAATGAGTGAGAAGGAATGAATGAATGTATGCATGAAATGATGCATGAATGCATGAATAGATTAATTAATGAGTGGGAATGAATGAATGAATGAATGAATGCATGAATAGATTAATTAATGAGTGAGAATGAATGAATGAATGAATAGATTAATTAATGAGTAAGAATGAATGCATGAAATGATGCATGAATAAATTAGTTAATGAGTGAGAATGAATGAATGAATGATCATTATTGAACAGCTCACATACAGGTTTGTGTTTCTGAAATGCACAAACGCCTGTAGCTTTGAATTTGAGTTTGTCACATTAGACCTTCTCAAGAAACCCTCTAGACACAAACATATGTCCACTTCCGCTCCGCTCGTCATCAGTAATCAGGCCAGAATCATTTCAGCAAAAGCTGTTGGTCCCTCTGGAAACAGACGGTCCTGAAGTGGACGCTTGGAGTCCTCGAGAGTCCTCCAGATCAGGCACAGATACAGCGCTCACCTCTGGCTCCGACAGCGTCACATGAAGCCAGAGACACACAATAGAGTCTTTCTCACAGCGGTCACATGCTGTCCGATCCGCGGCTGTGAGGAGACAGACGGCAGCGCTGGAATGGCTCGGGATGTTACAGACGTGCTCTGCTCGGGGCACGAGGGGTTAAACGCCGGCGCAGGTGAGCTGCGATCAAAGGATGGTTTTTTATAACTCGCAGTGCTCTGGTAAAGCATAAAGGAACCATTCTGCAGTTCTCTGGTAGGTGTTTTGGCAGAAAAAAAAACTGGTTTAGTTTATTTTTTTTTTTTAATGTTTGGATTGAAATCTTTGTCTGTACTGCAAAAAACATTTTTTTTAAACTGTATTTTTGTTGTTGTTGTTGTTGCTTTTTTCCCCAACGTCCTTAACGCGAGATATATCTACTTAAGAAGCCAAGCTGTGTAAGATAATGTGTCTTGAATTTACTGTTTTTTATGCAATGCAGGAATTTATTTATTTTTTATTTTATTTTAGTTAGTAGAAGGTTTGTTTGTTTATGTATGCATTTATGTATCTGTACTGCAAAATAATAATAATAATTCTTAAACTGTATTTTGTTTTTTTCTACGCATCCCAAAACATAGATAAATCTACCGAAGAAGCAAAACCGTGTAAAATAAGGTATCTTTGAATTAAGTGGGTCTATTTTCTTTCCAGATTTGATTTAGTTTATTATTTTTGCTTGGTTTTCTGTATCTGTAGGGCAAATTAAAAAAAAACCTTGATCTGTATTATAGATTAAATTTGTATAATTTGTGGTTTTGTTGTGCTTTTTAAGATAAGTCTACTTAAGAAGCAAAATCATGTAAGATATGAATTAGGTGTTTTTTTATTTTATTTTATTTATTTATTTAGTACATTTTTTATTTTTGTTTTGTCTTGCTTTCTGTATCTGTGCTACAAAAAATAATTTTCTTAATCTGTTTTTTTTCTAAACATTCATAAAACAGGATACATATAATATCTTCAAGTTTTTCTGGGGTTTTTTTTATTGGCAGATTTTAGTTAGGAGACGGTTTATTATCGTTTTGTGTTGCTTTCTGTATCTGTAGTGCAGAACAATAATTTCATAATCTATATTTATGTCAGGGTTTTAGTAAAAATATCCTTAAACATAAAATCCTTAAAATAAGACATTTACTTAAAAAGAAAAACTGTAATGTTTAATATATTTTGAATTAAGTTTATTTAAATCCATTGTTGTATTTTCTACTTTTGCACTGGCTTTAGACGTTTAGACATTTTTCTGGACAATGCTGTGTTATCTGCTCTTCTGTGAGCGTTTGCGCTGTGCTGTGCTGTTTTTATTTATTCATTGGCTTTGCTCAGATGTTTTGAGCTGTGTAATGTTCTGTCTTACAGAGCTTGTGTTGTTTTACTCTCTCTCTCTCTCTCGCAGCGTCTCTGATGAACAGTCCTCCTCAAAGGCGGTGGAAAGGGCAGCAGCATCGCTCCAGAGCGCCAGACAGCGTTTGTCCAGCGAGGAAAAGGCTCGTCTTGACCACAGAGCAGACCTCTGGCCTTCAGATCGACCGGAGAACCAGCTGGACAAGATGAAGAAAGAACCGGAATGCTGCAAAGTACATGAGCTTAAATACAGAGAAACAGCAGATGGACAAAACCTAGAGGAGACGTGCTGGAGACGAGACACACAGGAAGTGACATCAGAGGATGACAACAAAGGTAAGACTGTCTCCTGTCATCAACATGAAAAATAAATAACTGATCAATAATTCATCAAAATAATCCGTTATTCAAATCTAAAACCACTTTCCTTTTCTGGAAAGGCTGTGCAGGCTATTTGTCAACATAGTAAATGAATGTGGGTTAATCTTAAACAAATAGTTTAATGAAAATGTGTTCACCCTCAGGCCAATCCAAGATCAGGATGAGTTTGTTTCTTCGTCAGGTTTGGAGAAATGCAGCATTGCATCAGTGTCTCAGCAATGGATGCTCTGCAGTGAATGGGTGCCGTCAGAATGAGAGTCCAAACAGCTGATAAAAACATCACAATAATCCACAGCACTCCAGTCCATCAGTGAACATCTGGAGAAGACAAAAGCTGAAACTAATCCAGCATTAAGACGCTTTTTAACTAAAATACGAGTTCATAATCCATAATAACACTTCCATAAGAGATGACAGGCGATGCACTTTTTCACTGGAGGAAGAGTTATTATGGATTATGGACTCTGATGTTAGTTAAAAACATCTTAATGCTGGATTAGTTTCAGCTTTTGTCTTCTCCAGATGTTAACTGATGGACTGGAGTGCTGTGGATTACTTGTGGATTATTGTGATGTTTTTATCAGCTGTTTGGACTCTCATTCTGATGGCACCCATTCACTGCAGAGCATCCATTGCTGAGACACTGATGCAATGCTACATTTCTCCAAACCTGACGAAGAAACAAACTCATCTACATCTGGGATGATCTGAGTGTGAGCACATTTCCAGCACATTTTCATTTTTGGCCTGAACTATTCCTTTAATGTAGTGCAGAAAATGGCAACAACAGGGAATAAAGAAGCATTTAAAATATTGTGTTTTACTCAGACGGACGTTCAGTGCTGTTTTATTTATCTCTGCTCAGATGTTATAGTCTGATTAGTGTTTAGGGGTGAATGATAGCCTGTTTTAGAGATGTTTTTAGAGTTTTATAACTTTGATTGACTGTTGAAAGCAAATATAAAAGAGCGAGTGTTTTTCGGCGCTGCCAGACACTGAGAGCTCATGCTGCTTGTTAGTGGAAGGGAGTTGCCAGGAAACTAAAGCAGAAGATGGTAGTTTTCATCCCGTCCTTCGCCCATCGCTCTCCATTCTGCTCATTCCAAACAGCTTGTCTTTGTGCTCCTGCTCATCACACACACACACTCTCTCACACACACACACACACACACACACTTACAGCAAAGCAGGTGTAAATCACACATAAACACGTCCCAGTGAAAAAAATGAATTTTTTATATAACAGTATAACAGAATAACAGTATTTTTTTTGTTGCTATGAACAATGAGAATTTTAGAATAAATGTGTAAAATTAGTATGAATATAATCTGAATGCAAAGGTCACAATGCAAATAAATTCTAATAGAAATAGTGTTGGTTTTGGGATGCGATGTGATAGAGTCAGGTTCAGTGAGAGCATCTCTGTGTGTGTGTGTGTGAGAGTGTGAGTTTGTGAGTGAGTGTGAGTGAGTGTGTAAGTGAGTGTGTGAGTGAGTGTGTGTGTGAGTGTGTGTGTGTGTGAGTGTGTGTGTGAGTGAGTGTGAAAAAACAGGAAAAGAAAAGCAGCATCTTGTGGTTGATGACTGATTTTCTTCGAAACAGCATCTGAGATAGTCAACAACATGTTTTTTCAATAACAATATGACTTCAGTTTTTCATTCGCTGGCTGTATGTGTGTGAGTGTGTGAGTGTGTGAGTGTGTGTGTGTGTGTGTGTGTGTGTGTGTGTGTGTGTGTGCACACGTTTTTGTGACAAATGAGGACATAAATTTGTATAATGACAAAGGTATGACATAGGTATTACAAGGAGAAGGTGACTTTTCAGGACATTACCCCATGTCCCCACTTTTCAAAACGCTTATAAATCACACAGAATGGAGTGTATTGAAAATTTGAAATAGCACAAAGTCTCCTGTGAGGGGTAGGTTTAGGGGTAGGGTTGGTGTAGGGCAATAGAATATACGGTCTGTACAGTATAAAAACCATTACGCCTATGGGATGTCCCCACTTTTCACAAAAACAAACCTGTGTGTGTGTGATAGAGCTGATGGATCTGATGGCTCCAGATGGTGGCGCTGCAGAGTGTGTTTGTGCAGCTGAAGCGCGGCTCACTCCCGACACAGATGACTGTGACTCTGTGATGTCTGAGCGGACGCTCTCAGTCTGCAGCGGCCCTCAGCGGGCCCGGTGCGGCTCCTGGGCTCTGGCTCTGTACGGGGACGACTGCTTCGGTCCGGATGTGCTGGAGTACACACAGAAACTCAGCAGTCACAGCCAATCGCCCACGCTGGAGGACAAATCACAGGTATCGAATCTTTCCATGCATGGGTCATATTTTACCCCCAAATATAAAGAAAAAAAAGGATAACATATTTGAAATAAAATTAAGCATGCTCTTAGAACCATTAAGATGTTTTTTTTTTTTTTGGAGCATCAAATTATTATCATGACAATTAAACACATTTTCACCACAGTTTTTTTTGTTTGTTTCTTTGTAATTATTTTTATTCTCAGTGGTGACTGTTTTATTCCCACAGTATTTTTTACTTTTTTACATAATTAGCAAAATATTAAAAGCAGTACAATAGCGCATAAATAAAATATAAATAATTTTCAATTTAAATAATTTATCAGTGTTATTTTAGTACCATTGAGATACTATTACAGTTTTTAATATTTTAAATTAGATTTAATGTTTATATTTTCTGTTTTCACTATAATTTTAGTTCACTTTTTAGTACTGTTTTTTTTATTTTTTTATTAATGTTTTATAGTTTTTATTCATTTGTATTTATTTGTTTTAGTTTATTTAGTTTTATTTATTTTATTGCTTCAGGTTAAACTAAACGGAAATTAGAAATGTTGCCTTGGCAACTAGCGGAAATAAAATATTTAATTTAAAATTTATTTAGTTTCAAGTGATAAATGTTTTTATGATTTTAGGGTTAATTATAATAATCCTGTAATATACTGTTACATTATATATATGTATATATATTAAACATTTAACGTGAAAATAATTGCATGAAATAAATGTCACAATGCAACACATTTTATTTTATGCAATTTAATTTCCTAGTTATTTCTTTAGATTTTGCGACAAAATATGATCACCATTTCATAGAGCCAGAGTTTTTCCAGGTACAGTATCCTGAACCATCTTTATTTTCATCAGAAGAGCTTTATTGAATAAAGAACTTCCATCAATCACATTTTGAAAGAACCGCATGCATCAAACATTCAGAAACAGGAGCAGAATATGGAAAGTGTGCATTTTGATTGGGTTCAAGTATAGCATTAGATATGTGCATGATAATATCTAATATTTATAGCAGAATATGAGCGCTCAGTGTGTGTGTGATGCTTTGATGGTGGTCGAGGGCTGTTTTTCTGAGGCGCTCTACAGGAGGAGCGGAGCTGCAGTCGGACTTCAAAGCGCTGACCATCGATCTGTTACCATAGAGACAAATACAAAGAGTTCAGATCACAGAGTCCTGATCACATGCACTACTGATCTAAAGTTTGGAGTCAGCAAGATACTTTATTAAGCAAGGATGCATTAAACCGATCAAAAGTGACATTAAAGACATTTCTAATGTTGCAAAAGATTTCTATTTCAAATAAATGCTATTCTTTTGAACTTTCTATTCATCTGTGAATCCTGAAAAATGAAATGTATCACCGTTTCTGCAAAAATATAAAATGTTTTAGACTACATATAAAATATAATATAAAATAGGATCATGTGACTCTGAAGACTGGAGTATACTGATGCTGTAAATTCAGCTTTGATCACAGAAAGCAATTACATTTTAACAGATATTCACATAGAAAACAGCTATTTCAAATTGAAATAATATTTTACTATTTTTACTGTATTTTTGATAAATAAATGCAGCCTTGTTGAGCAGAAGATGCTTCATTACATTAAAAAATGTAAAGACCCCAAGGTAATACCAAACATCTTCATCACGTTGGCTTCATATTGTTTATCCTAGAAATCAAGATCATTCTGGTTCTGAAAAGCCCACCTACGCAGCTAAAACCAGCTTCTGATAGAAAGTGGTTTACTTTGTTTCTCCAAGTCGTCATTTATGGTCATTATGTGGTCATTTTCGTTACTAAATCAAAAAATAAATTATAAAAAAAGTTAATGCAAAATTTCTACTTGAAGTTTAACTTGATGTACTAAAATGAAAACTAAATTTTAACAATAAATAAATTATAAAAAAAAAATAATAATAATAATAAACTGTATAGTCTTAACGTGGTTTTGGACCCGTATCCGGGTCCGCAAAGTTTAATTAAACAACTACTAAAATTACACATTTCAAACTTCAAAAATTAACAAAACTTTAAAATTAAAATACATGGAAAATATATAAATACAAATTGATTCAAAATATGAATAAAAGCTATAATAGTATCTCAATAATATTAAAATAACACTGGTCCAAGCTGGTCTAGATGGTTGATTGTGGACTAGTTAGTTAAGTTAGTTAAACTGGTTTAGTGTTGGAAACCCTGCAACAAAGCAGCTGCCATGTTTCAAAGCCCAGATTCGTGGTGAAGAAATAAAAACACTAATCCTGTGTTCTGTTGTCTGTGAATGCAATGCATGGTTAGTTTGCGTGTATTTCCAGTTTAGTTGAGCATCGAGATCCAGTTATTGATCTTTTTTTATATCATTGCTCTTAAACAGGAGCTTCACCAGCAGCTGATTATTGAGAGCAGAAATCTGAAAAAGACCAGTACTTTCTACCACAAGCTGATTCAGCAAGAGAGGAAAAATAAAGGTAGAACAAACAGAAAACCTGCCGCCTGTGAATTCTGCAGCGCAGCTGTTTCTCGTTCCTCACTCGTGTGTTTGAGCTGCTCGTCTCTCTTTCTCGGTTCAGACACAAAGGTGATGGTGTCTAAAGTCAAGCTGGAGTTGGACGAGCTCAGAGAAAAAGTTGAGTTTCTGCAGTCTGTCAAGAAATATCTCCAGGTTTGTGCCAAAGCACACGCTGTGTTTCCTCTGTTGTGGGTTTGAAGACTTTTCTAAGCAATCATATTCTACATTTACATTTATTGGATGCTTTTATCTTAAGCAGCCATGACCTTGATGTTGTCAGGAACTTCTGAATAATAAGAACTAGAGATCTGACTGTGAAGTGAAATCTGTTTGGATGAGCCAAATTCAAGCCTTTGAAAAACAGAATTGCTTGATTGTTAAAATAATAGTTTTTAATAATGATGATGATGATGATAATAATGATAATAATTATTGATTAATATATATTCAAATCGATTAATATCACTATCAGTTTATAATGAATTGGATAATAATGATAATCTATTAAATGTATTATCAATCAACAATAATAATCTAATAATAATTGTAATAATAATAATAATTATTATTATTATTATTATTAATTTATAAATTATATAATAATAATAATCATCATCATCATCATCTAATTTATTCAAAATTAATAGTAATAATAATCTTTTAATAATAATAATAGAATATGAATATTATCAGTTTATAATAAATTAGATAATAATGGTAATCTAATTTATAATACATTTAAATAATACTAATAATATATTAATAATATTAATAGTTTATTAATAATAGTGTATAATATGAGATAATAATAATAATCATAATAATAATAACTATCTAATTTATAAATAGTAGTAATAACAATATTCTTTTAATAATATTAATAATAATATAATATTATTGTTATCTATTTATAATAAATTAGATAATAATGGTAATCCATCTAATTTATTCTTATTAATAATAATAATAATAGTAATGTTATCAGTTCATAATAAGTTACATAATAATGGTAATCTATCTAATTTATTATGAATTAAAAATAATTTATTAATAAAAATAATAACAACAACAACAACAGAATAATTGCAATAAACAATAATTGAATTGTTATTTAATTGTTAACAATTCTATTTTACCCTGGCTTTAAATTTGGCTTATCCAATCAGATTTCACTTCACAGCTCTTCGTATTTATCCAGTATTTAGAAGTTTCTAAAATCACAAAGGCCATGGGCTTGATTTTCAACACTGTGAACCTTAAATAAACTGCAAGCCGCTTAAAATTAACACATCTTTGTAAATAAATGTAAAATGTATTTTAGTGATTAGTTATTGTTGTTTTTTTGTTGTTGCCAGAAGCTTTTTAAATTAGCAGTGAGCCATACGAGGCCATGCGTGGTGATTTTACCAAGTATTTATAATTGCACAAGTGTTGTGTGATTGAGTTTGTAGCGCAGGTGTTTTGTGTTGGTGTTGCAGGTGCTGTCTGTGGATCAGTGGGGTTCGGCGCTCTCTCTGCTGCCTTCTCTGGCTGCGTGTGGAGCTGCGCCTCTGGACGATCCTGCACTTCTGCACGTTCTGTGTGAGCAGCGCCGGGGCAAAGGCTGCCCGCTAGTGACCGCCACCGCCAGAGGCCTCATGGCCTACCTGTACGCCAGGTACTGAGTGTGTATGACTGCAGCGTGTTTTTAACAAATGACTGCCGCTACTGTAACCCTCGTCACACACGTCTGTTCTGATGCTAACAGGAACGCTCACTGCGAGGGGTTTATTCAGCAGTTTTTCTACACGTATCTCTACTTCTGCACCTCGGAGGAGCTTCTGCGGTTTCTAATGGACACATTTAACAGCACACTGGGGTACGAATAAATAAATATGAGCACTGTAATGCAATAAACTAGAAAAGGTGAACTGCTCAAGAAAAACTTTGCTGTTCGCTTGAAAATAATTTGACAGTTAGATTGAATGTTATACAGGTGCATAGATGGATAGATAGATAGATAGATAGATGGATGGATGGATGGATGGATAGATAGATAGATAGATAGATGGATGGATGGATGGATGGATGGATAGATAGATATTCAGATTGATTGATATTCAGATAGATAGATAGATAGATATTCAGATTGATTGATATTCAGATAGATAGATAGATAGATATTCAGATTGATTGATATTCAGATAGATAGATAGATAGATATTCAGATTGATTGATATTCAGATAGATAGATAGATAGATATTCAGATTGATTGATATTCAGATAGATAGATAGATAGATATTCAGATTGATTGATATTCAGATAGATAGATAGATAGATATTCAGATTGATTGATATTCAGATAGATAGATAGATAGATATTCAGATTGATTGATATTCAGATAGATAGATAGATAGATATTCAGATTGATTGATATTCAGATAGATAGATA